AGAAGGCTGCGGGGAGACCTTAGAGCAGCTGGCAGATACTTACAGGGGACTTATAAGCAAGATGGGGACAAACTTTTTAGCAGGACCTGTTGCAACAGAATGAGGGGTAACGTTTTAAACTAAACAAGGACAGGAAGAAATTCTTCACCTTGAGGGTGGTGAGGCCCTGGCACAGGTTGCCCAGAGAAGCTGTGGATGCCCCCTCCCTGTCAGTGCTCAAGGCCAGGTTGGATGGAGCTCTGAGCAACCTGGGCTGGTGGAAGTTGTCCCTGCCCATGGCAGGGGGGGTGGAACAAGATGGTCTTTAAGGTCCCTTCCAACCCACACCATTCCGTGATTCATGCTGTCACCCTGTTTTCACAGGTTAGGGCTGTGTTCAGATGGTTTGCATTAGCAGGTAAATGAGATGCTTATGTTAGACATCTAGGGCCTGTAGACTGTCCATACAGTTGATACTCGGAGTGACAACTGCCTTAAGAGGGCAACAGACTGAAGGGTTATGGTACTGCAACAACAGAAAGCTGCCTTTTAGATCAAAATGCCTTTTACCGCAGGTTTTAAATGTAGTTCACCTTCTCTCTATTCTGACAGGTCTCTCACTGGTCATTGGAAGCAAAGGAACTGATACATACAAGAATCACAAACAGCTAAACCAACAGTTTTGGGACATTTTAACAATGTAAAATTTTCAATACTTTTCTGAGCCAATTAGTTTGTACCATTTGGGGTTTGCCAGGGTTTGGGGAGTACTTTTTTATTTCCACGGGCATCCTTTGTTCAGTACATGTCTGTTTTCCCTTCTTCAGTGAGCATAAAACTCTGACCATGAAAGCATCTGTTGCCCTACGTATGCCAGCCTGTATGCATTTCTCTCCATTACTTTCCACTGCAAGTTACTCTGTGAAGTCACTTTTACTTTAGCTTGGATCTCTATATTTCCACATAGTGACTAAAAAGCACGTGGCAGTCCCTAATGTGCGCTTTCTGAACACCAAATGATAACTTCCATTGCCACCCTGACTTTAGGGAAGGTATACTCTTTTACCAGTGTGCTGTGCAATTAACAGTACGTTTCATGACTTTTAGGTAGTACTTGGATTTTCACGCTATTACCGCCGTAGTCCCACGTGTCAGTGTTATTTCTCCAACAGTTAAGGCAGTGCTGCAGAACATTAAGCAAAAGCAGGGAAGGGCTTGACTGCCTCTCGCTGCAGGGATGAAGCTGAACCAGCTGACACATTACGCTGGGAACTGGCTGCTGCCAACAACTGTCCTTCATCTACCGGCAGACCCAAACGCACGAGGAGCAGATGAGTATCTAAGACATTCCATTAAGACTAGAGAATTATTACTTGTTTTGATAGGAAAACAGACAATCAAAAACCCAGATCATTGCCCCTGACTACATCATGGAAAAGTCCTGGACGGAAGGCAGAACATATAGGTCCTGCAAACCACAGGCGACCAGCAGACAACACAAGCGCTGGGAACTCAGCTGTGAGAGCAGGTGAAGAGGGGCTGTGCGAGCACAATGAAGGCTGGAGACACAGACTTGAAATTCCAGGCAGGGAAATGGACTTCTGTCCTTTGCTCTCAAAATTATTTGGAAAACAAGACCTAATACGAGTTTTTTCCTAAATAAGCATGACTATATAAAACAAATGTTCAATTCAGTGACAGATTTCTCTCTTGGCAGAAATAACTGAAAGACTCTGCTAACTTCTTAGACAGAATGCACAATAGAAAATCATTCTTATAATAACGAAATAACAATGTCAGATTCAACCCCGTGAAACTAACCAGATAAAACTACCTCCTGAAATGATGAAACAAGCGAACTGTAAATATTTTACCTGTAATGCAATGTACAAAATATTTTTCCTTAGACCAATAGATGATGTTGCTTCCAGTAATACAAAGAGGATGAGGAGATAGCTACTGATAAAGAAACTATACGCCCTCTGTGAAAATGCAGCTGATGTGACAGCAAATGCATTAACAATGACGCATTCACACATAAGGACTAGAAAGAAAAACTATACAAGAGCAGATCTAGGAGGTTATTTATGTTCACCACTAAAATCAGTTGCAGGAAAACCAAGCAAGGAAAAATGTAAAATCAGAAGGCCCCGAGTTACCACACTGATCCATGCTCACATGCAAATGCGTCTTCTGTTTCTCCTCTAGGCAGACAGATTTCACTGTAACGCAGTAATATCAAAACATCTTCATCATCTCACTAGATAGACGCTAAGTGTTCAACAACAGGCCCCATCAATATGTGTCACTGGTAACTCCTCTGAAAATAAACCCATGCTTTGTGAAACAGTATTAATTATGAAGCTTTCTATTTTTCAGTAGTCACGCAGCAAAGACAAACAGTTTTGTAGCTGGGACACTTCTGCTCCCAGCGCTATCGCACAATTGATTTTCTTATCATTAGATCTATACAATCTTTGTATGAAGCGGGCTTAGGGTGAGCCAACAACCAATCTTTGACTTCTGAGATACAGGCTACCCATCCGTACTCACCACATACACTCTCCAGCATTCTGTCCAGCAGCTTGACGTCAGTGTAGTAAAAGAAGGTTATTAAGTTGCCCAGTTTTTAAGGTGGCAACGTAAAAGCATAATGGGCAGGTCTTAAAGAGCCTTGCTTGCTTCACCTAAATCTGCAGCTGACTACGTCAAATTAAGCACCAAGGGTAGTCTGATGCCAACAAGACTGAGATCAAACAGCTGCTCGCCAACAAGAACGCCTCACACATCAGACCTCTCAGTGACACATCAAAGCTGCAGGAGCAGGAACATTTTAAAGCTTTATGCAATTTGACCCTGGCACACTCACAAGAAATGAAGGCTGCATGGTGAAAGCCTAAGAATAGGAGGTCTGGTTTGTACTGGTACATAGACGAGGAAGTGCTTTTATGAAGAGATAAAATCTGTTCTTGTTCTCATGCATTAGCTCTCCTTTGTAGCTTTGACAGGTGTTCCCTATTTATGTAAGAGAAGCAAATTGCTAGCACACGGGCTTAATGCATTATCTTTTTGTTGAGCCATTCCTTTTACACTCAGGAGCCTGTCTTCAACTACTGACTCGAAACTGCTCAGCAGCTGATGATGTTCACCCCTCAGCCAAGGAAGCAAACTCCAAAAGTCACCAGTCATGATAAAACTGGGCTTTTTATGTTAAAATGACTTTAACTGGTAAGCCGAATATGTTTTTTTTTGAGCCCAAAGGGGATCTATAAAAGAGTAAAGATGATTGCACCTGAGGCGGTAACCCCCACTGCACTTCTCTCTCCGCCACACCTGGGAAGCAGCTACCTGGAAGGGTTCTCAGCTATTCCAACAAGTCACCTGACAGAAAGTGGTGCCAGAGAACTGACAGTTTTTGGCTGGCATAGTTTCACTGGACTAAGCATTTCATCAGGAGGCAAGAATTCTGGATCTTTCAGTATTTATATACACATATGCACACACAAATAGCCTACTTGTGAGAAAACAACAGGCTGAGACCAAAACACTCCAAACATTTCAATGACACCTGACAGTCTGCCTAAAAGTTCATCAAACTAATGTTAAAAACTGTGATAAAAGGTTTTGAACTCGGAGACTTTGGGGTAAATCTGTTACTGTGCTGCTAAGACTCCTAAGATAACAGCTGCAAGCACATGGCCAAGGGAGAAGGAAGGTGGGAGAGCATCCGGGCTCCTCCCCAGTTACCACCAGCACGCGTGCTTCCTCTCACAGCCCGTGCCCGCCCCAGCCCCGCAGGCTGGCTGCCTGAGAGCAAGCACGCGGGGCACTGCAAGTGATGGGCAAGTTGTGGCCAAGGAGTCCATTTGCTGGGTAACCATTAAACCTCGGGCAGAGGCAGGCAGCATTTGCTCTCGGCAACTACTTGCTTTTCTGTGCCTCACCAGCAACCGTGACCCGGAGCAGAGGGCTGCCGGC